ACCGAGTCTCATCTCCTTAGGCCCCGTCTAACATGGAGAAAACGGGACATAATGGAAATATCGATAAAAAATCAAAAGTTACTTTCAAAAATGGAGTTCCGCGATTAAAGTTGGCAGTATCCCTGATGATGTCTTAAAAAATCGCGGAACACCATTTTTGAAAGTGACTTTTGATTTTTTATCGATTTTTCCATTATGTCCCGTTTTGTCCATGTTAGACGGGGCCTAAGGAGATGAGCCTCGGTATAGGAGTTCTTCAGGACATCATCAATAATACTACCAAGTTTAATCGCGGAACACCATTTTTGAAAGTGACTTTTGATTTTTTATCGATATTTCCATTATGTCCCGTTTTCTCCATGTCAGACGGGGCCTAAGGAGATGAGACTCGGTATAGGAGTTCTTCAGGACATCATCAATGATACTACCAAGTTTAATCGCGGAACACCATTTTTGAAAGTGACTTTTGATTTTTTATCGATTTTTCCATTATGTCCCGTTTTCTCCATGTCAGACGGGGCCTAAGGAGATGAGACTCGGTATAGGAGTTCTTTAGGACATCATCAATGATACTGCCAAGTTTAATCGCGGAACATTATTTTTGAAAGTGACTTTTGATTTTTTATCGATTTTTCCATTATGTCCCAGTTTCTCCATGTCAGACGGGGCCTAAGGAGATGAGACTCGGTATAGGAGTTCTTTAGGACATCATCAATGATACTGCCAAGTTTAATCGCGGAACACCATTTTTGAAAGTGACATTTGATTTTTTATCGATTTTTCCATTATGTCCCGTTTTGTCCATGTTAGACAGGGCCTAAGGAGATGAGACTCGGTATAGGAGTTCCTTACGACATCATCAATGATACTACCAAGTTTAATCGCGGAACACCATTTTTGAAAGTGACTTTTCATTTTCTATGTATTTTTCCATTATGTCCCGTTTTGTCCATGTTAGACGGGGCCTAAGGAGATGCGACTCAGCATAGATGTTCTTTAGGACATCATCAATGATACTGCCAAGTTTAATCGCGGAACACCATTTTTGAAAGTGACTTTTGATTTTTTATCGATTTTTCCATTATGTCCCGTTTTGTCCATGTTAGACAGGGCCTAAGGAGATGAGACTCGGTATAGGAGTTCTTTACGACATCATCAATGATACTACCAAGTTTAATCGCGGAAAACCATTTTTGAAAGTGACTTTTGATTTTTTATCGATTTTTCCATTATGTCCCGTTTTGTCCATGTTAGACGGGGCCTAAGGAGATGAGCCTCGGTATAGGAGTTCTTCAGGACATCATCAATGATATTGCCAAGTTTAATCGCGGAACACCATTTTTGAAAGTGACTTTTGAGTTTTTATCGATTTTTCCATTATGTCCCGTTTTCTACATGTCAGACGGGGCCTAAGGAGATGAGACTCGGTATAGGAGTTCTTTAGGACATCATCAATGATACTGCCAAGTTTAATCGCGGAACACCATTTTTGAAAGTGACTTTTGATTTTCTATCGATTTTTCCATTATGTCCCGTTTTGTCCATGTTAGACGGGGCCTAAGGAGATGCGACTCAGCATAGATGTTCTTTAGGACATCATCAATGATACTGCCAAGTTTAATCGCGGAACACCATTTTTGAAAGTGACTTTTGATTTTTTATCGATATTTCCATTATGTCCCGTTTTCTCCATGTCAGACGGGGCCTAAGGAGATGAGACTCGGTATAGGAGTTCTTCAGGATATCATCAATGATACTGCCAAGTTTAATCGCGGAACACCATTTTCGAAAGTGACTTTTGATTTTTTATCGATTTTTCCATTATGTCCCGTTTTCTCCATGTCAGACAGGGCCTGAGGAGATGAGGTATAGGAGTTCTTTACGACATCATCAATGATACTACCAAGTTTAATCGCGGAACACCATTTTTGAAAGTTACTTTTGATTTTTTATCGATTTTTCCATTATGTCCCGTTTTGTCCATGTTAGACAGGGCCTGAGGAGATGAGGTATAGGAGTTCTTTACGACATCATCAATGATACTACCAAGTTTAATCGCGGAACACCATTTTTGAAAGTTACTTTTGATTTTTTATCGATTTTTCCATTATGTCCCGTTTTGTCCATGTTAGACGGGGCCTAAGGAGATGAGACTCGGTATAGGAGTTCTTTAGGACATCATCAATGATATTGCCAAGTTTAATCGCGGAACACCATTTTTGAAAGTGACTTTTGATTTTTTATCGATTTTTCCATTATGTCCCGTTTTGTCCATGTTAGACGGGGCCTAAGGAGATGAGACTCGGTATAGGAGTTCTTCAGGACATCATCAATGATACTGCCAAGTTTAATCGCGGAACACCATTTTTGAAAGTGACTTTTGAGTTTTTATCGATTTTTCCATTATGTCCCGTTTTCTCCATGTCAGACGGGGCCTAAGGAGATGAGACTCGGTATAGGAGTTCTTTAGGACATCATCAATGATACTGCCAAGTTTAATCGCGGAACACCATTTTTGAAAGTGACTTTTGATTTTTTATCGATTTTTCCATTATGTCCCGTTTTGTCCATGTTAGACGGGGCCTAAGGAGATGAGCCTCGGTATAGGAGTTCTTCAGGACATCATCAATAATACTACCAAGTTTAATCGCGGAACACCATTTTTGAAAGTGACTTTTGATTTTTTATCGATATTTCCATTATGTCCCGTTTTCTCCATGTCAGACGGGGCCTAAGGAGATGAGACTCGGTATAGGAGTTCTTCAGGACATCATCAATGATACTACCAAGTTTAATCGCGGAACACCATTTTTGAAAGTGACTTTTGATTTTTTATCGATTTTTCCATTATGTCCCGTTTTCTCCATGTCAGACGGGGCCTAAGGAGATGAGACTCGGTATAGGAGTTCTTTAGGACATCATCAATGATACTGCCAAGTTTAATCGCGGAACATTATTTTTGAAAGTGACTTTTGATTTTTTATCGATTTTTCCATTATGTCCCAGTTTCTCCATGTCAGACGGGGCCTAAGGAGATGAGACTCGGTATAGGAGTTCTTTAGGACATCATCAATGATACTGCCAAGTTTAATCGCGGAACACCATTTTTGAAAGTGACTTTTGATTTTTTATCGATTTTTCCATTATGTCCCGTTTTGTCCATGTTAGACAGGGCCTAAGGAGATGAGACTCGGTATAGGAGTTCCTTACGACATCATCAATGATACTACCAAGTTTAATCGCGGAACACCATTTTTGAAAGTGACTTTTCATTTTCTATCGATTTTTCCATTATGTCCCGTTTTGTCCATGTTAGACGGGGCCTAAGGAGATGCGACTCAGCATAGATGTTCTTTAGGACATCATCAATGATACTGCCAAGTTTAATCGCGGAACACCATTTTTGAAACTGACTTTTGATTTTTTATCGATTTTTCCATTATGTCCCGTTTTGTCCATGTTAGACAGGGCCTAAGGAGATGAGACTCGGTATAGGAGTTCTTTACGACATCATCAATGATACTACCAAGTTTAATCGCGGAAAACCATTTTTGAAAGTGACTTTTGATTTTTTATCGATTTTTCCATTATGTCCCGTTTTGTCCATGTTAGACGGGGCCTAAGGAGATGAGCCTCGGTATAGGAGTTCTTCAGGACATCATCAATAATACTACCAAGTTTAATCGCGGAACACCATTTTTGAAAGTGACTTTTGAGTTTTTATCGATTTTTCCATTATGTCCCGTTTTCTCCATGTCAGACGGGGCCTAAGGAGATGAGACTCGGTATAGGAGTTCTTTAGGACATCATCAATGATATTGCCAAGTTTAATCGCGGAACACCATTTTTGAAAGTGACTTTTGAGTTTTTATCGATTTTTCCATTATGTCCCGTTTTCTCCATGTCAGACGGGGCCTAAGGAGATGAGACTCGGTATAGGAGTTCTTTAGGACATCATCAATGATACTGCCAAGTTTAATCGCGGAACACCATTTTTGAAAGTGACTTTTGATTTTCTATCGATTTTTCCATTATGTCCCGTTTTGTCCATGTTAGACGGGGCCTAAGGAGATGCGACTCAGCATAGATGTTCTTTAGGACATCATCAATGATACTGCTAAGTTTAATCGCGGAACACCATTTTTGAAAGTGACTTTTGATTTTTTATCGGTTTTTTCATTATGTCCCGTTTTCTCCATGTCAGACGGGGCCTAAGGAGATGCGACTCAGCATAGATGTTTTTTAGGACATCATCAATGATACTGCCAAGTTTAATCGCGGAACACCATTTTTGAAAGTGACTTTTGATTTTTTATCGATTTTTCCTTTATGTCCCGTTTTGTCCATGTTAGACAGGGCCTGAGGAGATGAGGTATAGGAGTTCTTTGCGACATCATCAATGATACTACCAAGTTTAATCGCGGAACACCATTTTTGAAAGTTACTTTTGATTTTTTATCGATTTTTCCATTATGTCCCGTTTTGTCCATGTTAGACGGGGCCTAAGGAGATGAGACTCGGTATAGGAGTTCTTTAGGACATCATCAATGATACTGCCAAGTTTAATCGCGGAACACCATTTTTGAAAGTGACTTTTGATTTTTTATCGATTTTTCCATTATGTCCCGTTTTGTCCATGTTAGACGGGGCCTAAGGAGATGAGACTCGGTATAGGAGTTCTTCAGGACATCATCAATGATACTGCCAAGTTTAATCGCGGAACACCATTTTTGAAAGTGACTTTTGAGTTTTTATCGATTTTTCCATTATGTCCCGTTTTCTCCATGTCAGACGGGGCCTAAGGAGATGAGACTCGGTATAGGAGTTCTTTAGGACATCATCAATGATACTGCCAAGTTTAATCGCGGAACACCATTTTTGAAAGTGACTTTTGTTTTTTTATCGATTTTTCCATTATGTCCCGTTTTGTCCATGTTAGACAGGGCCTAAGGAGATGAGACTCGGTATAGGAGTTCTTTACGACATCATCAATGATACTACCAAGTTTAATCGCGGAACACCATTTTTGAAAGTGCTTTTGATTTTTTATCGATTTTTCCATTATGTCCCGTTTTGTCCATGTTAGACGGGGCCTAAGGAGATGAGCCTCGGTATAGGAGTTCTTCAGGACATCATCAATGATACTGCCAAGTTTAATCGCGGAACACCATTTTTGAAAGTGACTTTTGATTTTTTATCGATATTTCCATTATGTCCCGTTTTGTCCATGTTAGACGGGGCCTAAGGAGATGCGACTCAGCATAGATGTTCTTTAGGACATCATCAATGATACTGCTAAGTTTAATCGCGGAACACCATTTTTGAAAGTGACTTTTGATTTTTTATCGATTTTTCCATTATGTCCCGTTTTCTCCATGTCAGACGGGGCCCAAGGAGATGAGACTCGGTATAGGAGTTCTTCAGGACATCATCAATGATACTGCCAAGTTTAATCGCGGAACACCATTTTTGAAAGTGACTTTTGAGTTTTATCGATTTTTCCATTATGTCCCGTTTTGTCCATGTTAGACGGGGCCTAAGGAGATGAGCCTCGGTATAGGAGTTCTTCAGGACATCATCAATGATACTGCCAAGTTTAATCGCGGAACACCATTTTTGAAAGTGACTTTTGAGTTTTTATCGATTTTTCCATTATGTCCCGTTTTGTCCATGTTAGACGGGGCCTAAGGAAATGCGACTCAGCATAGATGTTCTTTAGGACATCATCAATGATACTGCCAAGTTTAATCGCGGAACACCATTTTTGAAAGTGACTTTTGATTTTTTATCGATTTTTCCATTATGTCCCGTTTTGTCCATGTTAGACAGGGCCTAAGGAGATGAGACTCGGTATAGGAGTTCTTTACGACATCATCAATGATACTACCAAGTTTAATCGCGGAACACCATTTTTGAAAGTGCTTTTGATTTTTTATCGATTTTTCCATTATGTCCCGTTTTGTCCATGTTAGACGGGGCCTAAGGAGATGAGCCTCGGTATAGGAGTTCTTCAGGACATCATCAATGATACTGCCAAGTTTAATCGCGGAACACCATTTTTGAAAGTGACTTTTGAGTTTTTATCGATTTTTCCATTATGTCCCGTTTTCTCCATGTCAGACGGGGCCTAAGGAGATGAGACTCGGTATAGGAGTTCTCTAGGACATCATCAATGATACTGCCAAGTTTAATCGCGGAACACCATTTTTGAAAGTGACTTTTGATTTTTTATCGATTTTTTCATTATGTCCCGTTTTCTCCATGTCAGACGGGGCCTAAGGAGATGAGACTCGGTATAGGAGTTCTTCAGGACATCATCAATGATACTGCCAAGTTTAATCGCGGAACACCATTTTGGAAAGTGACTTTTGATTTTTTATCGATTTTTCCATTATGTCCCGTTTTCTCCATGTCAGACGGGGCCTAAGGAGATGAGACTCGGTATAGGAGTTCTTTAGGACATCATGAATGATACTGCCAAGTTTAATCGCGGAACACCATTTTTGAAAGTGACTTTTGATTTTTTATCGATTTTTCCATTATGTCCCGGTTTCTCCATGTCAGACGGGCCTAAGGAGATGAGACTCGGTATAGGAGTTCTTTAGGACATCATCAATGATACTGCCAAGTTTAATCGCGGAACACCATTTTTGAAAGTGACTTTTGATTTTTTATCGATTTTTCCATTATGTCCCGTTTTCTCCATGTCAGACGGGGTCTAAGGAGATGAGACTCGGTATAGATGTTCTTTAGGACATCATCAATGATACTGACAAGTTTAATCGCGGAACACCATTTTTGAAAGTGACTTTCGATTTTTTATCGATTTTTCCATTATGTCCCGTTTTCTCCATGTCAGACGGGGCCTAAGGAGATGAGACTCGGTATAGGAGTTCTTTAGGACATCATCAATGATACTGCCAAGTTTAATCGCGGAACCCATTTTTGAAAGTGAATCTTGATTTTTTATCGATTTTTCCATTATGTCCCGTTTTCTCCATGTTAGACGAGGCCTAAGGAAATGAGACTCGGTATAGATGTTCTTTAGAACATCGTCAATGATACTACCAAGGTTAATCGCGAAACTCCATTTTTCACGACCTACATTTTTTTTTTCGATTCTTCTGCGTCTTATAATCACGCAGGCGAATGGAGAAAAAATTATATTTTTCGAAACAAAAGTTTAAAATTTAGTTATGACATTATCCATGTTGTCTTAAAAATGGCTGCTAAAACAGGCTGCTAACTTCACATTTTGGCTGCTGTAACTGGCTGCCAACTTCACACTTTGGCTGCTGTAATGCGGCTGCTAGTTTCACACCGATAAACCATTACCATAAATAGACACACTATTTTTTATAAAACATTCTAAAAGTTGATGGGCATAATTTACCAAATCATTATTTTTACAGTAGATTTCAGAGGACAAAATGTAAGCTGCTACATGTAACAGCAAAAAATTTTGATACATATTTTGTGGTAAAATATTTTTGAAAACTACTGGACCCAAATAAAGTATAAAATGTCTAAATTCTGTAGCTTTATAGCGTCTACATTCTAAAACAGATCTAGGCTTCCTAGGAAGTTCCTTGGGTACATATTTTCGTATTTTTTCAAGATGTTGGCAGAGAAGATCTGTTTTTCTCCATGGTAACTTGTATGGAGGACTTCCAAAAATAAATCCGTATTTTTTGTGGGCCAGCAGTCGCTTCATCACGCCCAAACACAAACTGTGCATGTAATCTACTGGAATATTTTCCACAATGTTAAAATTAGGAATTTGCTCAATAATTGTGTAATTTAGGTGATAGTCCTCATCTTCTTTGGACCTAAAACTTTCATCGGTTCTCTTAGTAAAGTTGATGTCAGGGAAACACACTTTTCTGTCAATGTAATGTCCTTCTTGCGTGCACTTATTACATGAAGAATATCCGGAATGCATTTTAACGTTCAAAATATAACTTTTGGCTGGAGCATCGCAAATTATATTTTTAATTTTAAAAGGTAGGTGCATTCTGTTGAAGGAAATACCATTTTCAATCAAATGTTTAGCTTCATTAACAAATTGTAAGAGATATTCATTTGAATTGTTGGGCTTTTTGGATCCATGATATAAACCAATAATCATAACTTGATTTTCTAGTTCTTTATATGAGTCTATTGTGAACAAAATAGGCCAGAAACTACTATTAGAGCTTTTACTTAAAGGCAATCCGTCTATATGGCAGGATATATCTATCGATGTGGAAGCGTCTATTTTGAAATTAATAGTTGATAATAATTTTATTATGTTATTTTGAATTCCAAAATGATAATAATGGCCTGGAGAAATTTCTTGAATATTCACTTGTCGAGGAGTTCTTAGAAGCGTTCTAGCATGGAGTGGTAAACAGCTCGATAAAGAAGGCTCTTCTTTTAATATATGTAAGAGTTTGTCAAGTGCTTTATGACTAATATTTTCTTCTAATGCCCAATGTGTTAGTTTTGACTTGAAGTCTGGGCTTTGACTTATATTTTGTACTGGCTCTATGATTTTGGTAACATTATTTGCAGCTGCTGTAGGAACTTGATAATCAAAGGCTTCGGAATCATAATTGACAAAACTAATGCTTGATGAAGCATTTGATTCTGGGCTTGTTGGTGGATTGGGGTCTGGGCTTGCTGGGGCATTTAAATCTAGACTTGCTTGTGTATCTAAGTCTGGGTCTGGTCTTAATACATTATCGGTTGAATTCAGACAGTCAGACGCTCTCACACTTGGCGCTTGGTTGGTTACTGAATTAGACAAGATTACTGATACTGAACTGAAATTTCTTAAAGTCTCTTCCACTTTTCTAGTCAACCTTTTCCTTTTTAAGGACAACCTTTTTTCAGTATCGTTTTTTTTTTGCATGGTAATTGCCAAAGTATCTAAAAATTTTCACCAATTAACTGTAATGTGTATTTTTTCCCAAGATAGATTTTGACCTAGGCAACTTTGGAACATAAACAATGCCGTTATTGGGTTGGTTGCAAATGTAAAAGGATTCCTCAACTACAGGGAGTGCAGGGACATAGCATTTTGCGACCAATCAGGGCCAAGCGGTATTGTTTATGTTATCAATTTTGTCAATGTCAAAATCTATTTTGGGAAAAAGAAAAAATACAGTTTAGATATCTTCTACTTTTAATTTATATTGAAAATAATCAGTTTTGACCTCGTCACAACAATGCATTTTAAGGTTATTGAAAGTTGTAGGTTGGAGTACTCATTACTTTATTTTTATGTCTAAAAATAGACATAAAAAACTAACTTACCCCAACTATTCTTAAAAAAGACACGTTTCCTTAGACCACAGTCAAATATACAAGACTCTGATAATCTGAAATAAGGCCAAAATTCAAAGATCTTAAAATTATTAAACAAAAGATGTCGTTTAGCAATAATGATAATGTTCGTTTTTGCTCTATAATGAATAATGCCTGCTTATACCACAAAATTAAGCCAAGAATATAATATTACTAACAACTGAATTTAAAAGGGTTAGGTTTTTACAAGGCAGGCAATGGGGCCTGCCGCCTTCCTCGGCGTGAAATAAAAATATGGGTATTCGAAATTTATATACCTATACAAAAAATTATTGGGTAATTATAGAGTACCTAACTTACCTTAGGTGATGTTCTAAACTAAGATCTCGATCTCGGACAATACAACACAACACAATCGGAATCGAGACACAACGCACAAAATTTTTTCACGAGCCCAAAGAAACAAATGAAACAATGAAACAAAATGGAGTCTCCCATTCCATTTGCCTATTTCGTCGTCGCGATCCATCAATTCGACCGTTCCTCGCGTCGGTCTGGCGGGTGGCGGATGGTACAGCGCAGGCGCTTGCTGCGTTGTCAGCCAAGCCAGCGCCGCTCACGGACACGGACCAAAGCTTTAATTTTGAACTTTGGCATATTACAATAGTTGAGTTCGTTTATTCGCTCGAAGAGTAGAGCGTGTGGAATGTGACAGCCAGCTGTTTGCGCCAGCCTACCTATTTTCACGTGTGAAATCACGTGACATCTGTCAAATTCCACACGCTCTACACTTCGAGCGAATAAACGAACGCGACTAATAATTAATTATCAATTATCTATTCTTAAAAATAGGTATTAAGCGGCAGACAAAATTATTACATAAAAATAAAGAAAAAATAAACCCCTAATGATGGATGGCATGGCGGTTAAAAAAATCTAAATATTGTTAAAACCTAGAGTAAAAACATTTTAAAAATATTTTTGAAAACATGATAGAAAATGTTTTTTATACTTTATTTTTACAATATTCAAAAAAGATCTACTAAAAAATATTTTCTGTAGATGCTATTTTAATGTTCAGAAAATATACATTGGAAAATATTTTATTACTTGTGTTTTTCGAACAACAACGTTTTTCTGAGTAGGTTTTAAAAATATTTTATAAACATTTTCAAAGTAATATCTGGTTTCAAATCTTTTTTGGATCTCCTCAAAATCTATTTTCACTATGTTCAAAAAATATTTAGGGCTGGACCAAAAAAAAATATTCAAAAAATATAATTGTCTATATGGGATATCCCCTACAGTAGATTCTTCAAAAACTCTTAGTGCCGGTACTTTTGCTGTCATTTGACAGCCGTTAAAAATAATCAGGGCTTAGAATGTGCTCTAACCACATAATACTTTATAGACCTTGGCCCATGCAAAACTTTGACAACGTATCAAATTCGTTAATCGAGAGCAAAAGTACCGGCCCTTAGTATATCTGTTAAATGATTACCACTAAATCTTTAAAAACAAAAAATAGTTTTAATTGAAAAGTTTACTTTTATTAAATTTTGAATTATAGCCTGATATCTGAATGTATTTTCACCTGTACGTGTCCTGGAAATCTTGTTATTTGTAAATAATTGTTCGGCATCTTTTTCTGTTAATTCCGCAGCAGACTTTCAACTATTTGCACTGCTTTTTTGAAAGTTATAAGTCAGTACCTACAGATAAAAACAAAAATATTTAAAATAAATAAATCCAGAGCCAGCAATCAATGAAATTACGGCGTTACGACACAAAATCCGTCAAACAGGAAACAAAATCAACTAAAAAAAAGGAACTGCTATCAAACAAAAAAGAAGAGATGAAAAATTATTATTACGGCTTTCTTTATTTTGTGTTCGATCGTCTCAATTCCTATTGTTTGAATATCACTCTCGTTTCAATACCGTCGTATAACGTTGCATAATTAAGTTGTCACCGGATATCCCTTTTGAAATATTTACTTAACATGTAAATTCTCCCCTGGATTTCGACGTCTTTTTTGAAAGAAGCTTTAGGTGTCGTTCTACCTGAATTGAATGTTTCCATTTTTATTCTGCTGGAAATAAAAAATATTACGTAGGTACATAATATTTGAATTCGGCAAGATTTTTGCTTAGCGATTTTGAGTTTATATGGCAAAGAAAAAAAAGATCAAGAAACGTATCATATGTATAATTTTCAGGCGGATAGAAGAAGGTTATTGACAGCATTGTGGCATATTTCTATGGTATGGAAATTTGCAATCGATTCGGTAGAAATGACTAGCCTGAAGACTTTGTAAAACATTTTCCTCCAAAACCATCAGAATAGACAAATCAGAAAAATATAAACACTTACCGTACGTACAAAACAGGAAACTGGAATTCTAGGGAAAGCTACACTATTTTTAGCGATTCATTTAGACACTTTTCCACGAACTAGAGTAGGTATAATTCACAAAATAATCTTTTTTTTTTTAATTATGATCTGTTTTTATTCCTTTACAATAGTTGTGATTTTTCTGGAATAGAATTGTAGCTAGAAAGGTTTACTAACCGTCTTTTTGTCAGAAAACCATTTTTGAGAAAAAAAATCAGCTCTGGGACTCTGTGCTCTATAGAATTCTACAGCTCGCTTTCCATAGTAGAGAAAAGTTCGTTTCACCAGGGTTCATACTTGACCTTGAAACTTGAAAAAAAAAAGGTTGTCGTAGATTAATTCATATGACACATTCAATTTTTTTGACAAATAAGGGAGGATTTTCATGTCGAAATATGTCCGAAAAGTCTTCTATTTTGACATATTTATATACGATTATGTCAGAATAGAATGTTTTTCGGACATATTTCGTCGGAAAAACTGATGCATGAAAATCCTCCCTTAAAATGAATGACTTTTGGTTTAAGAACCGACGAACATTTTTGGCATTATTGATTTGTTTCAGTCAATTTTCATTTGTTAAACAAGGAAGGCAAATGCTGGTGGCAAGTACAAACCCTGGTGAAACAAACAATAGGGACATAAAGCTATTTGAAATGATTCGCCGGTATCGGTATCGGTATCCGTAACGCAACTAGATACGTTGACAAGCGAAAAGACTGTTAAAGCGCTCCCTGTTCCGGTAAACGTAAACGCATCTCATAACCTGCAAATTTTTGTCTCAAAACTCCGGCGTTTTATATCTAACCTTAAAATTGTTATTTTTTTTGCGATAGCGATACCGATACCGGCGAATTATTTCAAGTAGCTTTATGTCCCTAGTATCTCGGCCTCCGTATCGCTTCTGCACATGCGCAGTACGATACCGATACGGATACCGAGCAAAAAATACGGAAGCTTTATGTCCCTAGTATAGACTAAATCACGATAGAAAGTGAAGTTGACAGTTCGCGTTAAAATTTTTAGTAAACTTTTTCTTTAGGTTGTCAGCATGCGTTAGCGCTTCGATTCCGTCAGCTGGGATAAACGACAGGGTCGTATTTAGAAAAGTGATATACATTTCAGAATAAAAATTTATTTTCAATTTCTTTAAAGGAAGTTGAGTTATTAAAATCCAAAAATCCTAAAATAAGAGTCCAAAGTAAACACTTATAATAAGAGTAAACACTTAAATCCATACTAAAACCAGGTTTGAAACGCAACACCGAAACACAAAGGCACAGAACACTACATAAATAACCAAAAAACCGATTGCGAACAATTAAAAAAATAATGCAGAAAACGGCAAAAAATTGAAAGATTTCACACAAAAATTCGAAATTCAAAATTCAAAGACCCGAATCTGTTTTTTTTTATGTGTCAAATCAAAATGTCATGTATCATTATTTGATAGTTGTCAGAAAAAGGGACAGACCTGGGGATTTTATTTATTTTCAACTGGTGAAAATAACGGTCAAAATTCAAACTCTCTCGCTATTTTCAAAAGCGATAGTCGGCTGAAAGGGCACTCTGTGTCACTATCGACAACAGCTCGGCTACGTTCTCGGATCCTTGTATCATGCTACTAACCATTCGAAAAACGTAGTACAAATCTAGGGGAATTTCTAGGGAATTTTTATATGATTCCTAAGAAATGTCAATATTATTTATTGAATTGACTTATTTATTATTATTATTATTTGGTTTGCTTGTTTATACCATAACTATTTTTGCTTCCTGAAAGTTGAGTTTAAGTTTAAAAAGTATGCTTTGTTGCCCATTATGAATTTAAATAGCAATATTGTTGAAGAAGATGAGAAGCTTGAACATATTTGTCTGGAAAATATCCATTGATGAGTGATGCCCAACCACTCGCACAACCACCAACAACAGTGACTGTTTCAAAAAGAAGATGTTAGATTTGAAGAAATAATCGGGCAAAGCTATAATATTTATGTGGCTACAAACTATGTCAAGAGCAGAGCAATAGAGAAAGTATCAATAGCCATCAGGGTTCAGTTTTCTGTGACTCAAGACGAGAAAAATCTAATTGAAGCAGGATTTATGGGAAAAATTAATTTTCCAGGTGTGATTACTATCTCACGGCCGATGGAACCCACAGTGAGTGAAATTCTTAGACCACAAGAACCTTGGCTAATGACACCTAGAGAAAACACTGCTCCAGGAACTCCAGAGTTCAATTATAGTATAGCCAAAATCACATCCAAACTCGAAATTGTATCGGTGTGTTTGAACAAAGGGGTGTAAAACGCTTTAGTGCAACAAAAATTAACAAATTTTCTATAAAAATTAGTTGATATATCCTTTATACAGTTGGTTTTGTATCAATTTAAGTGCGGATATTGACGTTTTTTGCCGTAGTAAGCGAATATTCACATTCACAATTACTTACACATAACCAGTAGATATTAAACCAGTAGATATTATAACCAGTAGATATTGAACGAACTGTAACTCAAACTAACCAAAAGTATGCAAACTAACCCAAACTAACCCGTCCACGTAACGCGTGCGAGTCCTTGTATGTTGATATTGAATTTAAAGGTAATTTTTGGGCTCTCGGGAACGGGCTATAGGGCGTTTTCTGATCAAGTTCATTTTTGGTACACATATATAGGACGTCAAAAGAAATTTTTCCAAAAAAAATTTGACTTTGACTGTGATCTTGATCCTGACCTTGACCAGCAAATTCACATACCTAAATGGCAGTTTAACGTGCTGAAAACTTGTATAGTGTTGAAAGGCATCTCAAGTAACCTAAACACCGAGTTTTAGCCTTCAAGGTCATACACATTCAGAGATACGGCAACTCCGCATTCTCAGTTTGGGCTCTCGGGAACAGGGTAGAAGGCGTAGTCCGATTGAGTTCATTTTTGGTACACATATTTAGGCCGTAAAAGGTAACAGTTCAGTGAAGGTCCTTCAAAAAAAATATCATGCTTCTTCATTATAAATAGTTTAGTTTGATCCCAAAATATTGTTTTATGATCGAAAATGTTGGCGCAAATAACTATAAATTGGATTTTATAAATATTGAATGAATCCTCTTCTCGACTTTTGACACAGATCAATATATAATATCTATTCTTATCAGCTTAATATCACAATCGCTCTGTTTAGCAGATAAAAATTTAATAAACGTAAAAAGCATCATGTGGTAGATATTCGAATGAAGAGAAGAGCTAAGTGTTCAAACCATTTTTTGAAAAAAAAATTATTGAGTAATGATAAAGCGTATAATATCTACTGAACTTTTGAAATTGGTACACTTTAACCGACAATAACTGATGTGCTATATCGAAACTGATCAAAAATATGCAAACTAACCCGAACTTACCCGTCTTTGTACTGCCGTAAACCTATCTAATCGAGAATTACAAAATAATGCAAAACAACCCAAATTAACCCATTCTTGAAATGCATGCTAGTATCCTTGAACATTTTTATTTTATCTAGCTTGTCGCGCTTGGTATCCAATATCCAGTTTTAGATAAGTAATTAACATTCAATATCAGGATGTTTCCTATTAAAAGTGTCCAAATTGGCCCACCCTGTACATAATTTCAGCACGATAAATAGATATTTACGTGAATTTCACTGGTGAAGGTCACGGTCAAGTTCACGGCCAACGGCCAAGGTCAATTTTTTTTTGGGGAAATTTCTTTCAGCGGCCTTTATATGTACTTATACCAAAAATGAACTCGATTGGACTACGCCTTCTAGCCCATTCCCGAGAGCCCAAACTGAAAATGCGGGGTTGCCGTATCTCTGAATATGTATGACCTTGAAGGCTAAGACTCGGTGTGTGGGTTATTTATGATGCTCTTCGGCGCTATACATAATTTCAGCACGATAAATTGATATTTATGTGAATTTCACTGGTCAAGGTCACGGTCAAGGTCGCTGCTAAGGTCAATTTTTTCTTGGAAAAATTTCTTTCAGCGGCCTTTATATGTATACCAAAAATGAACTCAATCGGAGTATGCGTTCTACCCTGTTCCCGAGAGCCCTAATCATACCAATTTAAAAAACAAAGCCCGCTTCGCGCGCTGTGTTCTCAATCAGTACACTTATAACCAGTAGATACGAACTGTAACCAAAACTAACCAAAAATATGCAAACTAACCCAAGCTAACCCGTCCACGTAATGCGTACTAGTCTTATGCAAACTAACCCAAACTAACACACCTTTAAATTGAACCACTTTAATTTATAGATTTTTCTTGAAAACTAATATAATCCGCATATTTTTATATTGAAATCGGTCCAAAAAGGCTAACTACAACATCAGGAATGCATCTTATAAGAAACTACGTGTTGCACTAAAGCGTTTTACCACCGAACAAAGATTTGTGTGTACTTCAAAAGTGTTGAGGCATGCTCCAGAAAAAGTTGGGCGCTTTGTTATTGTTTGTGTTATTTTACATAATTGCTCGGAAGGGAGACTGAATGATCCCCGAACCTCATATCCGAAGGGATAACATTCAGGTACCGTTCCGAGGAACCATATAATGTAACGTTATGCAAGCAGGAGTCCAAGCAAGAAACAATTTGATTCATCGTCATTTTATGCACTGATTTTCTAAAATGTTATTATAAAGATTTTAACCATAATAGGTATGTGTTTTATTCCGGGTTTATCGCTTCTCACTCTCATGACAATCATGACGATGATATTATAATATTATTAATATAATCGGAAACCGGCGTCTGCTCGAAATAAACTAATGAAAATATTAAATAAATAAGAAATAAGAATGGAATAATTATTTCTCAATATAAATTTGGAATATCAACAACAACAATTTCGCAATTATTGTCAGTGTCATGAAGCTTCACAATGCACATGCGTCAGTAGTATTCGACACGTCTCGAAATGTAGAAATGAAATTATGAAATAAATCGCGTTTTGTCGATATTCTTGATGCACAGAGTGCCAACCATGTAGAATCTTGTCGACTGATAGAATTCTACATGACACAGAGTCCCGCTCCAGGGTTTTTCTTACAAAACCAAACTGGAGTAACATTTAAAAATGATAAATATGGAAAGTATAAAATAAATCGCGTTTTGCCGTTATTTTTGATGCACAGTAGTCCCGTTACGGTCATTATTTGAAAGCCCCTGTCTCAATCTTTGAGGGGCAGGTGTTTGAGTCTAGTTAGATTTAGTGTAGTGTGCTTCATTATAGTTACTTATGCACGAGCGGGCGGTAAATTCAACTTACCGCCCGTCTTTTTTAGGAGATAAATCAGCTGAAATTATTTATTATATTCACCCAAGAACTATACCTACCTACATATATTATTACCAAAATCGGTGTGGATCACCATGAAAAATAGGTATAAAAGTTGTTGATTTTTGGAAGATTTGCAAATACAGAAGTTGTCAATTTATTTCAGTGGAAACGCACCTTTATATAAAGTGGAAGACTGTTTATTTTTGAGGACAATGACCGCGTTCACCAGATACAAACAAACGTTGGTAAACGGTTTGTGATTGTTCTGCTGAACGCTACGTTGAATTTGTGTTAAAACCAAACATGTTTTGCAAACGGTCGCCATTTTTGCAAGCATAATTTCAGAGTGTTTATTATTTTCAACACTATGTTTTGTGTGGTGACCTGTCATTCAGAAGGTGACGTTCTATCATTGAAAAGTTGAATCGTTCAGCAGAATCAAGAGTTTACCCACATGCCAGGATTAAGGGGGGGCTAACGGGGCTGCAGCCCCGGGCCCCGCAGTCCAGTAGGGCCCCGGAGGGGCCCTACTTTCGAAATTGAGGCTTCTGCTGGTCAGGGGCCCGTGGGAAAACAATAAATATTAAAAGCACTAGTCTTTCGCGTCATGTTTCGCAAAATTTATTAAATTAAAAATAAATATAGAACAACAATGCAGAAGGAATGCCTGTCTCCATTAACATTGAATATTGATGTGCATAGAAAGAGAAGGAATTAGAATTACTGTTATACAAGAATTTGTTAGGTAAACTTAAGTTACCTAGGGAAAATAGTTATTTATGCAACAAGTGTGTAAAGTGAACCCTTTTTCACGAATGTGAATTTTGACGCATGAGCCGAAGGCGAGTGCGACAATCACATGAGTGAAAAGAGGTGCTTTACGCACGTATTGCATACAAAATTTTTCCTACTACCAATCAAATATGTGTAAAAAAATAAATTTAGACAAATTCTTCACGCACTAGTGCGTAAAGTATTTTCACTTTACGCACTAGTGCGTGAAGTAATTTACCAGAAAAATAGTAATTTGACAAGTCGACATCTGTCATTGTCATTACTTTACGCACTAGTGTGTGAAGTGAAATACTTTTACGCACTATAGTGCGTGAAGAGAAATTTTACGTCTTCTGAATAGTGCGTAAAGTGAGTACTTTACGCACGGTAGTAGAAAAAAGATATTTTGACATAATTTTGTAAAACATGTATATCCTATTCACAATCCGTAGTCCAAAGGTAAAGGTAAATTTATCACTTTTCACTATCAAATAGCACTGAAAGGTGATAAATTTGACCTTTACCTTTGGCTTTGGACATCGGATTATCAATAGATAATAGGTATAGCAGTGTCAGAAATATAGTTTTTTTTATATACAGGGTGTCCCACGCGGTTTTTCCCAAATGATAATTTCGGAACGCATCATCGTTTGTTCCACGGTATAATTTTTTATCATTTTCAACAAACATAGCATTGACGATTTTGTAATTCAATTTTCTAACGTAAAATGCCATAATATACCATGAGTTACATTTAATAAGATTCGAAAGTTGACGTCACTTGACCGAAATTGAAGCCAAAGTGGTGAAATTGGATGACGATGGTAGAGGCGGCATAAAAAGTTACCTAGATCCTCAAAATTTCAATTATATTGGATGATGCGTTCCGAAGTTATTACCTGGGAAAAACGTCGTGGGACACCCTGTAAATTTTTTTTCACTTAATTTATGAGGGCCCCCCTAGAACTTCACTAGCCCCGGGCCCCATGAAAGCTTAATCCGGTCATGTTTACCCAACATATTCTGTTGGTATTTGTAAACTGTTTACAATCCGTTTTGGTTCTGGTGAACGTAGCCAATGTCAAATGGATGCCATTATATAGGTAGTCATTTTATTTTTGAACTGGAAGAGTTCGATGTGCATAAAACGTAATAAGCATTTTGTGCGTCAAGTGTCGTTAACCACCCTCAAATATTGAAGTAAATGACACTCACCGCCCTTGATACTTAAATTAATATAACTAACCAGGTGATACCGGTTGATGAGTTTGTCAGTTAAAGTTTGTCGATTTTAAATCCGAGCCGCTTTCCAGTATGCACATTGGCGCGCTCCAGAGCACCTCGGGGGCGCCACGCACTAGATTTGTACCGTTCCAGTATCATGGCGTGAGACGCCTGTCTTAGTGTCAAATATGTCAAATTTTAAAAATAATTATCTGTTTCTTTGTGCAGTTTGTTTTTTTATTTATCAAAAATGAAAGAGAATCCAAAATATATATTTTAAAATGTTCAATCTTGAGATATAACAAAGAATAAATAGCCACCCACAGATGTGACAGCTGATAGGTTGACGCGTACGTACAGCTCGGGGGCTCCACGCCCCGAGTAGCTCCGGGCGTCACACTCCCATACTGGAAAGCGGCTCTGATACTCCAAAGGAATGTGAGCCTGGTGGCACCCTACATTAGAACGCCAATTGTCACGTGACGTCACACCTGTTTTTGCCATATACTTCACCCCCCACTCCTCATACGGATGTGGTTAGATTAAAAACAACGGACAATAGTCAGTTAGTGACACATAGTCAACTAAAAAGTTTAATTTGTATCTATATTCTTATCTAAGAATCCATAGTAATATTTCATAAAGACATTAAAACAGAGATTGATGGTCACTTTTAAAAATGTGTATTATAAGCAATAAAGCAATGCAAGTTTTTAAAGGTACCAGTTTTAAAAAGCGCTTTTAAGTTAAAAGAGGATGTTGCATACAGCTGATCTTCACAACTGAATACTGATTTAAAAAAAAAAAAATTAGCTAAAAATACACATTATCTGTATCTGCTTCAAGAATCTCACACTGACTTTTTTTTTAAAATAGGTTCAATTTTAATTCATATTGGGTTCTTTAGTGTAAATAAATAATAAATTTGGAACAAAGGCTATTTTAGAAAAAGTTCTTTTTGTGGAAAGTGTTTGTCACCCAAACTTATTTTGTTGACCAGACTTCTGATAAAAGAGGAAGAGGAAAACTAGGTCCTAGATTTGAATCTTCAGCAGCAGTCCCATAATAAAACACAGTTCTATCATTTCACCTAGTTGTTTTATTTTTTCAAACTTTGTAGAATATAATGTTTTACCGACAAAAAATATACGACAGAGTTTCTATAAAATTAAACCATTTTAAATATTTCAATACAGATAATGTAAAAACATAAATTTCTAACAATAAACGGCAAAAATAAAGACACACTAAATAACTAGGTAAATTAAAAGATACATTTCAAAATTTATCTATTACATAGGTATAACAAAATTTCAAAAAATAAGATCAGTAGTTACCAAACAAAAGGGACTCCAAAATAAATTAGACGCTATTTTTACTGAATACTGTTTGGTTTTGGATAGTACGACTGTAGAATATCTAGTTTTATTCAATCTCTATTGTTTTAGGTTGGGTTGTTCTATAATCTAGAATACTATTTATGTATTTTGAAGGCCTAGTAGTAGTAAAAACCCTTTGATTATATCAAAAAGTTCCAAATCAGAAATTGTCTTTAGTTTTTTCATCAATTTCCCAAGACAGGACAAACATTTTTAATTCAAACTATTTACGAAATCTACCTATTTCGGACATTAGCGAATTAATTAATCACAGGTATAGCTTATCAACATCAATGACGAGTTGTAAGAATTACCCTATTTCAATTTACACTACTTAAAAAGGGCTTAAAATTACCTCAAAAATGCTCATTCTAGTCTATAATAATGTATGATAGACATTATAATGAGTGTATTCCTGTTACATTTCAATTTCAATCAAAAAGACTACCCAATGAACCAGAAGGTGAAAAAATTCAACCCTGGGCCTTTCAACTGAACTGTTCAAATCTTACTACTTATAATCCATTGAGTAACTTTAACTAGTTCCTGTATGTAAAAAGAATACTCTTATTGAAGGAAAAAAATTAAATCGCATGAAATTAGATGGAGTCATCGGACAGAACACATACAAGGCAATTATTGAAATGAAATCTTTCCCAAAACACTGCATTTAGTGTTTCATTATTGCTAAAGATTATGAGGTAGACAATTCTATAATAACAATAAAAACAAGTTATTTTATTTGTTTATGTATTGCAATAATTGTAATCTGTTTCAAGATATTTTAATGTTTTAGTTCAGCATACTAACGTATATTTTATCGTCCGATGATAAATCTAATTTTTCAAATATTATAAAGTTAATCACACAAAATATTATACCACTCCTAGAAAACTGAGTGGTACACAGCCTCTACGTATTCTCAAAAAAATGAGTCTAGATTACAAGGAAAAGTTTCGCTACCTATTTACAATAGTTTTGCTATTATTGGCATCATCAGAATCTCAAATATAACTTAGGTGAACATCAAAACTTGAAAATAAAAAGATCAAGCGTACCGAAGTTAGGTACTTTTAGAAAGTTTTTGAGATTTTGCACAACCGTCTCTTTTTTTAAAAACTGAAAGTATGTATTTCTCTCTCCTGAAAATAGGGTATTTTTTGGGCGACCTGAGATTCAAACACTCTGATGTAAACGAAAATTTATATAGAATAAGAGGTAGGTTATTCACTAGATTTTAGCTTAAATTTTACGCTAAAACTTTTTCCTTGAAGTTGCTAATTATTAATCACGAAAATAGAAAATTAGTACAAAAATTACTTAACGATTTATTATCAAAAAACCCCTAACGTTTTACTTAAGTTACCCAAAAATAAATAAAGTAGGTACCTACATACTACTAAAATCAGTAAAATCTCAAATTTCCAACTCTTTTTCTGAGTATTTTTTCAAGCAGGATGTTCTTCTTTAGTTTCAATTGTAGGATTTTTCGTATCGCTGGGTGAAGTCTCCTTAATGGTGACTTCAGATGATGACCTGTTGCGCATGAAACGTTTATACTTTTTGGTTATTGGTATTATTACTAACATCATCCCTGAAAGTGCTATGAAGAGTCCTGCCAGGTAGAAGCTCAAGTGGTACGTTCCAGTTATATCGTAGAGCCAACCTAGAAATAAGGGAATTTGTTAAGGAGTTTCATTGTTTATTTTCATTTTTAAAAGTGCAGACTAATTTGTCACAACACAGCACACCAGTGCAATATTGGTTGTTGCACCCTTACTTGCGCAGGAACTGTTGAAATTCTGCTCCTACGTTCTATATCTAATAATGTCTCCTGACTGTTTCTGTATCTAGTTATAGGAACGGTATACTATTCGATGTGCATTTATTTCTATATGTACTACGTGAACTACATTGGTAAAAGTAGAAAAAAAAGGCTTGTCACTATTTTTTTATAGCTTTGATATTTTTGCAGATTAAGTCATATTACAGTCAAAACTCAAAAGATACCTTTTGTTATCACAAACAAACTTGCCAAATTTGAAAAAGAAAATTGGAAAAGGGATTTTTGAGCTAAAAAACCGATTTTATTTCAAATTTTGACACCCTGTATCTTGAAAACTAAGCATTCGCGGACCCATGTTTCTATTTACTTTTTTCTTATTTTATTGAGTACTATTTATCCTAGAAGTTTGATCCCACTATTTATTAACACCCTGTATATATGTCTAGAAAGGCTTCAGTTTTTTTTCCAGGTGCATCAATTGAAATACCAGCACAATTTATGAGAGGAAAGTTGAAGTCTCCAAATAATCCAAATATGAATGTAGGATTCTCAGTATGCATTCTTAACTGTATTAATAATTTGTACCGGGTCATCAGAAAAAAAGGAGCTTCGTCTCTTTATAATTAGTTTCAGTCTTCAGGAAAAAATTATTTTCAGAATATTCAATATACATCTCCGTCTTATACGAATATTTAATTTTGAAGCTGAATACCAGATCATAATATACGGAATTTTGCAATAAACCTCGAACACCTTTGGCTGCTGGTAGAAGGCACATGCTTTATATTAAAAACAAAATTCTTCTGGATGTACAAAAACCATTAAATTCAGATATGAAATACTTATTTGTGGGTTTCGCAAATTAACTGAAATTTAAAACTCATAAACTAAAAGCTTCGTCTTCAGCCTGTTATCATCCATCTTAGGGCATAGTTCTCTTCCATTTTCCGCCGGTGAACTCTATTTCGAGCCACTTATCTCGAGTGCACTAAGTTTGACGTCGTCGATTCATCTCATCTGATTCTGTGGTCTGCCTTTTGATCTGTGTCCAGTGGTCTTTTGGTGTAGCCGAATTAATTCCCAGAAAGCTGGAATTTGTCTTAATTTTTTCATTTACTTGTAAAAAGAGTTTTTTAAAGTTTGCACACATTTTCTGCTTGTGCTGGGGTGTCTCAAAAACCTGGACATTTTCTGACTTTTCACAGTTTTTTCCTAATAACTCCTAAACAATGCATTTCTCGGAAATTTTTAACCTTATACACGGTGTCCCAGCCGAAAGTGACCCATTTTAAATTCTTATAACTTTTAAACTAGGTGTGCTAGCTACCTGCGGTTTGCGCCATTCAATTTCTCTTGGCGTAAAGTTTTTTTAATACCATCCTGTATATCACAACGTCAAAAAAAAGATAAATGTTCAAGGTATCCATATACCAATAGACATCGTCCCTAAAACTTGAGGTTTTAGCCGTAAACAATTAAAATCGAAATCTTGGTATTTTTGCAAACGCATGCAACTTTATGTTGTAGCTACTTGATATCACTATGGCAAACAATTAAGTTAAAATACATTTTCCACGAAAATTTAACGAGTTCCAGAAAATTATTTCTGGAACTCGTTAAATAGAGATACGCCAACAGTAACAGTTTGGTGTGTAATCTTTATTGAGAAAAAATACAGACCATTTTCATTAATGAACCAACGATAACAGAAACTGTATACACTGATATGTTCTTTTTTCCATAGTTAGGACAGAAGCCTATCTTGGATGATATCTATTTTCAGCAAGATGGTGTCCCCCCCACCTCATTATTCTTTGATAGTAAGAGAATCACTAGATATGACATTTGGGGAAAGACGGATAAGTGGAGCTGGTCCTATAGGATGGACAGCTTACTCTCCTGACTTGGAGAGTTCCAGACTTTTTTCTCTGGGGTTATGTCAAGGAAAGATTCTGTAATCATTTGCTCAAATAACCTGGAAGATCTTAAACGGAACATTTGTAATGTCATTGTAGCGATTCCCTAGGAAATGTTACACAATTCATTCAACCATTTACTGATCCTCAAATGCGTGGAACATAATGGTTAACATATACAGCATTTTGTATGCAGTTTTTAATAAGTTTTTATCAGGCAAACATAAGTTCAAGCTTTGTAAAAATGCATTAGCAAAAATACCAAAATTTCGATTTTGATTTTTGTTCGGCTAAAACTTCAAGTTTTAGTCACGATGTCTATTCGTACATGGAGACCTTGAACATGAATATATTTTTTTGTCGTTGTGATATACAGGGTGGAGAATATCGATGTTGAATTTTTTTTATTTTTTATTCGCCCTGTATACGTTTTTAAAAAAACTGGATTCTACTAGAAAAAAACTTTAAGAAAAGAGACATTGAATGGCGCAAATCGCAGGTAGCTACCACAACTGGATTAAAAGTTATAAGCATTTAAAATGGGTCACTCTCGGCTGGGACACCCTATATTTTGACCCCCCATTTGCAGCCTTTACCACAGCTTATTGAGCCGTCTCCAACATATTTGGCTCTAAAAATTAGATTTTGTGAACCATTCTACCTCTAAAGGTGAAAGCTGCAGGTGAAATTTGAGGCACTTTGGTTCCCCTGATAGTATTTTTATAATTTTTAGAGGCAAATATGTTGGAGACGGCTCAATCAAATAGACATATTATATATTTTGTAACATTTGAAATGTCACAAGAACATATTTAGTTGTTCTCGGTTGATTTCATATATTTTGGACTCATTTAAAATATTAGAGCTAGCGCGTTCCTACTCCTTATGTCTTTTACTTGCTCTAAGTTTAAGCTACTATTCCGTACACCTGGCGACATCTATGATTTTTCTGACTAGTTTCCTAACCTAATACCGAAAATTATGTTATTGAGAGATGCGTTCGGCTTGCTCACTCCGTCACTTCGAGTGACTCCATTCGCACTCCAGCTGTTCGGGTACTGCTTTTTACCATATTAGGGTTAGTTTTATTCACTCCACTCCAACTACGAACCTAACTTAAGTTATTTTTAAGAAAACCGGTAGCGCTGTCAATTTTATAATTTCGACAGGCTCGACAGAGGAAGAAAGACAGAACCACAGGGGTACTTTTGACTTTTCTTTTCGATTTTATAGTTAGACTGAAAAGGTCGTCTCTGAGAAATCCAAAAACTTTGGTTTTTATTCTTGGCCATCGAGCCCAAAATTATATAAGTTTAACTAGCCAGAGGAGTGAGTAATTGTGCCAGCTGGAACGTTTCCTGAAAAATCAATAGATTGTTGATTTTTGGGTAAATTTTTGAAAGTGAGATTAATTATCTGCCGTTCAAGTATGTAAATCCCTTTTTCCCTTTGATAAATGAGTTCTTATATTTCTTCAATCCGTTCAGGCAATTTGGGACAGGATAAAAAATCCACGCCTACACTTCTGAGTGAAAATTTGACGAACTTGAGACCATGCTGTTGCTGTACTGCATTTCCAAAGCAAGTCTGGGCCCCCTCTACAAGGAAAGTTGTGTCTTGTAAGAGATTGATCCCCGACCATTGGATGATTGCCTTCCATCAGTTTGGTGCTTCTGGATCTCAAATTTATGAAAATTTCCAAGGATTTCGTCCAGGCTTGTATAATTACTTACCTATGGGTCCCGTTTATGTGTGTTTTACACATACAGTTTCTTGATATTATCTCTTTTCTACCGCTCCATATCGATTACCTTTATTAGCTAATTATTATCTTTATAATATTAATTACTGTTAATTATTATTATCTATTCCTTATCGCTTACTATCGATTAACTTAATTAGCTAATAGGGTCGTTACCTCCTGTTATTAAAATTATACTGACCATTATTCTTCGATATAGTGAGGCCTAAAACTTGGCCATGTCATATTGGTTTTATTGAAAATTGTTTCCTGGATTATTTAAATTAATTTAAAATTTAAACATTTTTTGTCCTTGTCGAATTGTTGGTCTCTTTCTCCCATGACGTCACTAGGCGGGCATGCGCAAAGCAGTTGTAAACAAATCCATCAACATATGCAATTTTGTGAGGTTATGTTGTTTTGTTATTATTTTGGAATGTCGTTTATCGTTGTTATATTTTCATTATTTTTTGAGTTTTTCAACGGTTTTTCCGAGGTTTCAAAAAAAATATTTAAAAGAAACGTGTAATAAATTCAAGGTAAGTCTTTATTTCTCATTATTTGATGTTATTAAGGTCTCAAATAGAGCATGCATTTCAGTTTCAGTGTACCCACCTAAGTCCTACCTACTGTTCACTATTTGGCTATGGATTTTCGTAAATGTTTTGTTCCTTCTTGTAAAAACAGTAATCTAAATTCGAAGAAAATCTTTATAGCTGTCCCCAAAAATGAACAAAAAGAAGAAGTTGGTGTTTAGCTGTGGAAAGAGTTAATGTATTGTCTAGTATTTCTGGTGGAATTTATTGCTGCGAAGATCATTTCAATGTAAGTAAACTTAGTTGCCAAATTTCATTTTATAAACACCTATTTTCTGTTTTACATTATTTCAAAAATATGAACATTATATTATGTTTATAGATGGAACAAGATTGTGATAACTAGATGCAGTTTAGGATGACAAACTGCAAATTACTTATGAAGAAAAAAGTGGTTCCACATATTAAATTTAGGCAGAATCCGAGTTTGTGAAGAAGCTGAATAAAAGAATTGCCAGCTTACGAATCCATATTGGAAGAGTGATACAAAGATTGTGAGAATTAACAATACTCGAAGGACATTCCTGCATTGACCATCAGCTTGTGGCATTTAATAATTATTGTGGAATAGTGAATTTGCCATTAATCAAATAAATTTTATGTCGAAGCTAGAAAGAAATGCTTTTT